ATTTTTTTAAGAAATAAAAACCCCATATTTTTTTCCCTTGGACCATTCTGGAAAGGATGGAAGGTTTTTGGTGGTTTTTTTTTTTGTTTGTTTTGTTTTGTTTTAAAGGATGGAAGTTTTACAAAAAACAAAGACTGGGGGTGGGAGGGCTGGGCGGGGAGCAAAGTGCAGCAATGAATGAATGGAAATCCAAAATCTCTGTAAATGCTCATTAAAATTATTTAAAACAACAACAACAAAAAAACAAAGACTAAGACGCACTTCTACAGTGCTAATATATATCAAAAGAAATAAGTTTAAATAAAAGATTCAATATGCTAATGTTATAAAGAGAATTCTAAGTTAATAGGATATGTAAAAACAGTGACCTCATTAATCAGTAATTCAAGCTAACACATGATAGCTGAAAATATCACACCAGCTCTTAGGGACACACATAGAGTAGGTAGATTTCCTGTCACACTCAGAAACAGCTGTGTGTGGAAAACCACCAAAACCCATTTTATGAGCATCGCAGTGTAGGTGCTAGCTCACCCATGCTCTCGATCTACAAAGACAGTATTGTGGATGCCATGTCTTGTCTGCCTTAAGTAAAAATATGCAGTACCTACCTCATCAAAGCTAGAGAGCTAGTTGTGAGGATTTGCCCCATGAGCAAGGAATGCACTGTGTGTCTCCTTCCATCATGCAGGGAAACTTGCATGGAACATCTCGCTGTACTCTCAGCAGAGCCCTAAGAGCTGAGAGATCCATGGCAAGTGCTCCAGAAACGGAGCAGGAGAGTTTATAACGATTGCAAATCCATTACGACTACCCCCACTAGTCCATCACCACAGCCTAATCTGAGAATTCGCTTTCCCCTTCATGTTCTGACTTTCAGATTGTGTGTGTGTGTGTGTGTGTGTGTGTGTGTGTGTGTGTGTGTGTGAAATCTCTCAGCAAGCTTCTTAAAATCCAGATCCTGGCTATGAATTTTCTCCCTTAATATTTATCACTGTCTAATCTTAATGCTTCAGATCTAAAATTCATCCTAATTAGACTCCTTAACAGCTCTGAGTGCTAACAAATCAATTAGTCCCGACCTCCTTGTGCCAGGCGAACCAATTTTATAGGCAGGAGAGTAAATGGAACCTGGCTGGAATTCGGTGATGAATGATGCACCAGCCAAGCTGGAGAAACAGCCTTAGACGCCTTGAATCCCCATACCCTATCAAATGCCTATAAAGCACCCTAGATCATCCTCCGTCAAATTATTTATAGGTGACAAGAAATATTTCTAATTATATCCATTCACAGCCACAGTCAGTGAATATTGTGCAAAGAGATTGCCAAAAAAGGTTTTGCCAAGTAGGTTTCCAGCTAGGACAGCTGAGGTGGCTGCTGTGTTTGCAGAACGGTCTCTATAAAAGTGGAGCCGAGATGCTTCAGTCCTGTCCTTCCTCAAAATTCTTCAAGGTATGTATAAGTGAAGAAACGTTTGGATACTCTTACAATCCTGATGATAATGACTTTTCAGCTAAGGGAGATGGCTACCATATTCCCAAGTTATAATTTCCCACCCCCAACATTCCTAAGGATAACATTGGACACAATATAGTTATTTGCATTTTGTGATTAAATTAGGAGGGGAGGGAAAAAAAAGAAGAATCCCACATTCTCTTGTTTGTTTTTTCTTTCAACAGTAGTTCTCTGCCTTGTGCCTGCCACCTTCCTCATCTGGTAACACAAGAGGTAAGAGTAATTTATTATTACACTGTAAAGAAGCCAAGGGGTCTCTATACTGTTACATATTATCTTAAGGAGCTACCATTTTATTTCCTGACTAAGATCAGATACAAGAGATAAAGATTTTTAAAAAATTACTTATCATAAGTTTCACTTTTCAGGCTATTTAATACAATATTAGGAAAAAAATGCAACTATGACATGTAATACAAGGGGAATGACTAATTCAAAGTAACCAAGAAGGAAGGCTACATCAGAGAGACTGCCTGGGAAAATAAACAGTGTGTTGGTTTGGCAGTCTACATGTGCAGGTGTCAATCCAAGCTCTTCATGACTCTAGTTGCCCAAGTCAACCCAGTTGACTTTGACGTATTTTGAAATACAATGTGCGGCAGGGGACTTAGCACCGAACCCAGACAGGCTTGCTTCCCAGCCCTGCCACTTAACCACTTCTGTGACACTGAATAACCCCTCACCTTTCTGGGTCTTACTCTCCTCATCTGTAAAAGGAGGAGGCTACACTCTAGCTTACGCAAAAGTCCTTGCAGCGAGTCTTTAAGGCAGTGGTTTCCAAGGATCCCTTTATAGGATCAAAACATTTGCAATCACATGCTGAGAGCTGCACTTCCAGTATTCTGTTAAGGACATGCATAGTGTTGAAAATTTGCTATAAACTTTGTAATTATTTTCAATAAGATTATTAACAATAAACCAAAACTAGTTGCCGTCAGATCCAGTCCAAATCATGAGGACCCCATGAGTGTCAGAGGAGAACAGAAAAGTGACCCGCAGGACTTTATACACTATCTGTATTCATTTGGAAAGAGAGGAGAGAACAAACAGATTGTTTATGGGGAAATGTTGCTTCTTTATACTTGAGGCAATTATCACCTCATATGGGGATACAAGGACTCCCTGTGAAAACCCTGAGACCCCTGAGGGACGATATTCTGCAAATTGGGAGATTATTAATAAAATATGAACTAAAATGGGAAGAGCAACATCCTTTTTGTGCTTTATGGCTATACTAGGTGAGGATAATCTTTACATGGTTGTGCATTAATTATTCATCCTAAATTTCCAAGGATAAAAACAAATAAAAATAATGTAACAGAACAGTAATTCTTGTTTTAAAAAGAATATCAAACATTCCAATATCCGTCCCCACAAATGTCTAAATTTTACATTATAATTAAGGAACTTCTATCAAGATGAGATATAGGTAGTATAAATTTATTGCCATTAAGTCAATACCAGTTCAAAGCAGCCTAATAAGAGAGTGTAGTAATGTCACTTAAGGTTTCCAAGGCTGACATGTTTATAGAAGCTGATTACCACATCTTTCTCCACTGGAGTAGCTGGTGAGTTCTAACTACTTAATGACTGGGCCTCCAGGAATATTCAGGGATAGTATATATAGCATGCAGACTATTCCACACTTAACATTCTAAATTAAGAAGAAAAAAAAATTAAAACAGACAGAAAAGACCAGGTCTTCATCTTAGAAAGCTTACGAAAGCTTGAGGCTTGGGTTGTTGTTAGCAACTAAGGCACCACTTTCCAAAACCCACCCTGTCTGTCTTCTCCTCCCCAAAGACTGCTCTTTATTTCCACTGGTCACTAATCCAATCCTTGCCATTGGGGTAACAGGATTTATTTTCTCATGACTAAGTTTTCAGCGAGAAAATTCTAAATTTCATTTTGACTTCAGAAAAAATATTTTGAGGTTCTGTATCTTTTTTAAAGAGAAGAGGGAGGGAATGAGAGAGGGAGGGAGAGAGGGACAGAAGGAGGAAAAAAGTGAGATGGGGGGAGAGACTAGAGATCAATAGTAACCTCCAGCAGTAAGAATCAGGTAAAACAAAACAAAACAAAAAAAAAATGGGAGTGCTGACAATCCAATTAAGAACAGAGAGAAGTATAGACTAAAATACACAAGCTTTGTGAAATTATATTTAAAAACTCAGATATGTCTCTTCCAGAACATTTTAAAATGTTTTTGTTTCTAGACTATCACTGACTTTCAAACAATTTAAGAACTAGGCAAAAGCCTTTGATTTTCAGTCATTCTGGTTTCTTTCCTCCTCCTTCTTAGTACTTACCAGTTAATTAAGAAGTTCAAGCATAATTTTTAGATGTTTTGAACAGATGTAACTTTTTATACATCCACTCTTAATAAAAGGAAATAATGTCGAATAGGAGGCACATTTTTCCTAAATATTTTGAGTTTTTTAAAGGATAATTTAGATTGCAAGTAATTGGAGGAAGTTTGTATTTCTTTTTATCATTACAATGGCAGAAAAGTGAAAGTGTTCCATTGTTTGAATGTACCACAATTCCTCAATCCTTTTGTTTGCTGATGGACATTTCAGCACTGAGGAGCAATGATTTTGAAAAATACTTTATAACATGGGAGTGGCTAGAGACCATTATGCTAAGTGAACTCACTCAGTCTCATACTGCATATGACCATTATTGTAAGAGTAGTAGGATAACTAGTAAGATGTGCATACAAGTCCAAAAAGAGAAGGAAAGGGGCTCAGGGGGCTGAGAGTGAGGAAGGGTTGGGAATTTCAGGGCTGCAGAGGTCACTGGGTGAAGGGAGTGGGGAAGGAATTAGCAAAGATCCAACGGGGATCTGAAAAGATGGGGTGATAGTGGACACAGATAGATGGTGATTTGGTTTATAAAATGTAATGTATGGAGATGAACATATGAAACACAATGTGAATGAAGGAATGTGTGAAACACAGTATGAATGAAACACAAAGCTTACAAATTTTGTATGCAAACCAATAGAAATTTTAAAAAAAATTATGTGAAAGAAAAGTGGGAATGGAGTAAGAAAAGGAAAGAAAAACATGGGGTGGAGAGAGAGATTCTGAGCCCAATAGAGGCACTGTAAATGTTACTGATTGAAATATCAGCTCCTCCACATTCTTCAAGGAAGGCTTATGCCACAGAGTATGGGATGCAGAGAGGCTTAAAAGAATGTTGTGCAGGGAGAAGGGTGCAACAATGAGTGAATGGAATCCCAAAATCTCTGTAGATGTTCATTGAAATGAAAAATAAACAACCTAAATTAAAAAAAAAAATGTTCCCAGAAGCACAGGCCTTTCAAGTCAGTGTTATGGTCATCAGTCCCTTCACGCAGTCCTAGAAGCGAGTCTCAGTGGCAATAGTGAGGAAATTAGCCTGGCCAGTGAAGCATCACGGGGTCCTCTTCTTCCCTCTAGGTTCACTGGGCGCTGTGTGGCCACCTATAACCCGCAGCCATGAGTTCCGACGCTGAGATGGCGATTTTTGGGGAGGCTGCTCCTTACCTCCGAAAGTCTGAAAAGGAGCGCATTGAGGCCCAGAACAAGCCATTCGATGCCAAGTCATCTGTCTTTGTGGTGGACGCCAAAGAATCCTATGTGAAAAGTACAGTTCAAAGCAGGGAAGGAGGGAAGGTGACAGTGAAAACTGAAGCTGGTGCTGTAAGTAAAATAAAAAGGGACATTGATCCTTTCCTCCTGCTTAGTTGATACCCACTGGCTCCTCTTTTCTTCACAGACTGTCACAGTTAAGGAAGATCAAGTCTTCTCCATGAATCCTCCCAAATATGACAAGATCGAGGACATGGCCATGATGACCCACTTGCACGAGCCCGCCGTGCTGTACAACCTCAAAGAGCGTTACGCAGCCTGGATGATCTACGTGAGTGCCCCCTTGACATTGTTTTTCTCTGCCTCCATGTGCTGTTTTAGTTTATGGGCACTAGTTTCAAATTTATCTGTTACAATAATATTTTAAGGTGGATTATTTGGCTGGCATTGCCAGTACATATATGCCCTTACTGATGTACGTATGGAAACCATTCCCTTAAAACTCAAATAGGGCATATCTTGTGCAGTTAGGGGCTCTACAAGAGGCAAAAATCATGGAAACCATTGAACCTATGTGAAATGACACAATACTCAAGTCCTCATTCCTCTGCACTTAAAACCATTATTCCCAAGGCTGCTTACTAAGATGACTGGTTACTGGTGACCCTGACCTTTTCCACAGACCTACTCGGGCCTCTTCTGTGTCACCGTCAACCCCTACAAGTGGCTGCCGGTGTACAACGCAGAGGTGGTGACGGCCTACCGAGGCAAAAAGCGCCAGGAGGCCCCGCCCCACATCTTCTCCATCTCTGACAACGCCTATCAGTTCATGCTGACTGGTGAGTGGGTCAAGAGTTATAGTCACTTGTCAAATGCAGACTTAGTATATGAAGCTTTAAGTACTTTAAGAATGAAGCATTCAGTACAAGTGTGACAGCACAAGCTTTGAAATCTCTAAGTGACAAATAGGCATAAGCACGCTTCAGAAAACCGAGTTGGGATTATAACAGGACAGAACTTTTAACCACTATGGGACGACTTAAGGGAATATGAAACGTATTTGTATCACATGGAAAGCTTATTATCAGAGATAGTAATGAAATAACACAGGATATACCCTATCACATTAAAGATAATAGGAATGTAATACTATTTTACTGTTTACATACTTTAATAGACTTACATGGAAAAGAATGTTATGAAAAGGAAAGCATAGACTGATACCGTACTTAACTGAAAACAATTCCAAGTTCCCCAAAACTGTTTTAATCCAGGTGCTATGTTTTTAAACACTATTTTTCATTTCTTTTTCGCAGATCGTGAGAACCAGTCAATCCTGATTACGTAAGTAGACTTTGTGTCTTGTCTTCTTTTGTATTTTGATTCCCACAATGCTTAACAGTGTTTTAGATTCGTTTTCTTATGCTTGGACTCTACAGCGGAGAATCTGGTGCAGGGAAGACTGTGAACACGAAACGTGTCATCCAGTACTTTGCAACAATTGCAGTGACTGGCGAGAAGAAGAAGGAGGAGGCCACGCCTGGGAAAATGCAGGTGGGCCTGACACTAAGCTAAGGACAGAAGGAACGATGAGGATAAAAAAAAACAACACCCAAAAAACCAAAACAAAACACTAAAAACAACCAAAAAAAGCCATCCACACTATTTCAGTGCATAAAAACAATCTTATATGATGCTATAAATATAAAACCTAACTCCTGGCAACTCTCTGATTAACCTATCATTGACCCTATAATAACTTATCTATGGACCCTAGTAATCATAGGGTCACACAATTTGATGGGTGGAGGGAGGCGGGGGTGAAGGAAATCGGAAAGATCTAGTGTGAAAAACAATGTATAAGAACCTTGTAACTAAACCAGTATAAAAAAACAAAATAAAACAAGCAAACAAACAAAAACCTCCTAACTCTTGGGAGAAGTTGTAATAAGGAGATGGATATGGCAATGTTGCAAGTTTGAGGGACAAACATTCTATTAGGGATAAAGGCTGTGTCCAGAAATACAGACATCAAGACCAGGTCACTTGCCTCAATCTGTCCTTTTTTCTCACTAACGAAGCAAACTTTACTCAAGAGCTAAAGAATACAAAAAGGGGGAGTAGATGAAGGAAAAGGTAAATGAGGAGTTATTTTAACAGACTGCAACTTATGCTTTCTCTTACGTTCTTTATCTATTTTATAATTTCTCTTAAGGGGACACTTGAAGATCAAATCATCAGTGCCAACCCTCTACTGGAGGCCTTTGGAAATGCCAAGACCGTGAGGAATGACAACTCTTCACGCTTTGTAAGTTTCTCCTCTTCCATCTGATGTGAGAATCAGCACTTCTGTGCTGATTTTCTGTAAATCAGAATTTCTGTAAACATAGGACCATATCTTTTCCATCTACTTGGCTCATAGCTAAAGAAGTATCTTCTACATTTTAATATGTACACTAAGCCCTCCTTTGTCTCTTTTAGGGTAAATTCATCAGAATCCACTTTGGTGCCACAGGCAAACTGGCTTCTGCAGATATTGAAACATGTAAGTTAACAAATAGGAATGACTGAGATTTTTTTTTTTTTAGGAGAGGTACAAATGGTGAAATCTTCCTTATTATGATAACTTTTCAAGCATTTCACATTTCACTGTGATGTTTTCTTTGACACATGTTTAATCTGCCTTTTCAGATCTGCTAGAGAAGTCCCGAGTAACTTTCCAGCTAAAGGCTGAAAGGAGCTACCACATATTTTATCAAATCATGTCCAACAAAAAACCAGAGCTTATTGGTGAGATGCATCTTTGATTTATTTCTACTAAGAAAGAAAAATGGCCCTTCCCATAAATCCCTCCAAAATAATTTTGATGACTAAAGTAACTGTCTATATACGTTCTTTTCCATGTGTTCAGAAATGCTTTTGATCACCACCAACCCATACGACTTTGCATTTGTCAGTCAAGGTGAAATTACAGTGCCCAGCATAGATGACCAGGAAGAGCTGATGGCCACAGATGTAAGTGATTCATACAAAAAAGGGAAAAGCAAATAGGGAAGACAATTAAAAAAAGGGAATACCATCATTCAGGAATTCTTATCCCTGAAATAAAAGTACAGGGCATTTCAATGTCCTCACATGTGGTAAAAGCTGAAAATGTTTCTAATAACCTTTAGATCTTTGGCAGTCCTTGGCTAACTATTTTTTTATACTTCTTATAATTTTTGGACTTTTTCTGGTTTATAATAGTGAGATTTCTCTGGAATTTATGCCAGACTCTAGATCTAAAATTTTTGGGGGAAACTATAGTACTTTCATAATTTATAATAGAAATTTTTTTAAAAAAATTCAGTTCCTTTATAGTCAAATGTTGACATGAACTGTAGGTCAAACGAAGCTTTGAGCCCTTTTGATGCAGCCCTCTCCTATCTATGCAGCATTAGGAGAAACGGGTTTTAGTCTTCACAAATACATTTTGGGGGGAAAACATATTTAGGATTCTGTGAGAATTATATTTGTTTCTGGAATTACAGATGCCTCTCTCGTTTCAGTAAGTATTAGTACTTTATTACTTATTTTCTTCATATATAGAATTCACACACAGTTCATGTTTTCTTTTGAATTTAATAGTTAATGTTCTGTGATCATTCTTTTTTAAATACCAGTAAAACTACCCCAATACTCTCAATATATAGCTGAAAATTACTTACAAAGTGTTTTTCATTTTAAACTTTTTTATTTTCAAAAAGTTAGTATTTTTTTGCATATCTTTACTTTCTAAATATCAGCTTTTACTCTCCACTACTTATTATGTTTGTATTTGAAAAAGACATGGCATTTCAAAATATTCTCTGGTCTGGGAGGTTAAACAAAATGTACCAATCTTGTTTTTGTGCTTCTGCAATAATGTCTAGGTTCTGTAAATAGAAGGGGTGAGGGAGCTCGAATAGAAAGGCAGTAATCTGGGGATAAGAGCAGTAAATAAAAATGCTTTTCTTTCTCTGATGCCTGTTCCCATAATTGAAGCCTTTTCCAAGTTTTACACAGGCAACTGAGAAGAAAATAAAAATGTAACTTGGAGGGGAAAATCCATAAGAATATCTGAATAAAAGAAAAGCATTCCACTAATGTGTCTTGCCTGAATGACCAAGTAAAATCTACTTGCAGGCATGTCACTGTCCACTGAGCTATGGACTGACCTCGGGGAGGCTCCCAGAAAATCCCTGTTCTCTTCAGATCTTCTCTCCAGTTGTATTCTTCATGTCCACTAGGATGGAAGGGCAAAGGGAGACTTTATTTTAGTTTAGGATTAGGAGAAGAAGGAGCAAAAGAGAGATTTATGAGATAGAGAAAAGGAAAGGAAGCCTACAGACAATGAGGACTGTGTGCCTTGGGAGCAGGGCCAGGCCGATGTGGAGAAACAGGCCGAGCACTGGCCTTGGCCTTGGAAGTGCTACTCTCAGTGCTGGCTTAGTAAGTGCAGTAAGTCACACCACATCATGACTGTCCACATGACTCAAACAAGGGGACTGACACATGCCTCTCAAAGTCGCCATGTGAGTCAAAAAGGCGAGGCATGCACGTGCCTTTTGAAAGCAGCAAGGCATGAGGGGGACAAAGTGAAGGGCCAGCCCCTGAGTGCTGAGGAAGTGTCTTTCTTTTTTCTTTTGTTTATAACAGTTGCATTATCTGCCTCCCTTTTGTCCCCCTTTCCAGCCTCCCCCGCAATCCACCCCTTTTTCCAGATTGTCCTCATACATGTCTTGTGATGGTATTTATGACGTGAGTTCATTTTACACTTTCAACAGAGTGCTGTGGACATTCTGGGTTTCAGTGCTGATGAAAAGGTGGCCATTTACAAGCTCACAGGGGCTGTAATGCATTACGGCAACATGAAGTTCAAGCAAAAGCAAAGGGAAGAGCAAGCTGAACCAGACGGCACTGAAGGTGACACTTCTGATGATACCTTTCAATTGACAGAATGAACACCGTCACCTCTGCAGGAGCAGGGACTGGATTTTGCTTTCTTTGACTTAACTAATGAGGGGAAAATAACATCATTGTTGTTGGTGTATTGATCCAACTATGGCTCATAGTCTTTGTTGTTGATTGCCATTGAGTCGTGCACGACTCTATGAACAAAAGGCTCGAGGCCTTTCTATAACTATGACATTTACCAAAGTTCATAGAGTTTCCAGAGGCATGTGGTTTAGGAAGTGGATGCCACTCCTGCTAGATCCCTGTAAACAATGGATCTGAACCCTGCCCTCTCCTGCACCACCTTCATCGTTTCTGATATCCTCGAGCCCATTGTTAGAGTCACTGTGTTAATCCACCTTGCTGAGGGTCTCCCTCTTGTAAGCTGACCCTACAAATTTCCAAGCATGATGTCTTTGTCAAGGACTGGCTCCTTTTCAGGACACGCCCAAAATATGTGAGATGAGACTTCATTAGCCTTGCCTCCACGAAGCACCCTAGTTGCACTTTTTCTGAAACGTATTTGTAAAATCATAGTAGGGGAGAGAAAGAACACCCTGTTTGATGTTTTACATGAATGAGAAGATTTGCAAAGATACGGGTGTTTTTTCTCATTCCATACTTCTTGATATATTATAAGCAAATATATTTGCTGTTTATTGAAAACATTTCTACCCTATTTTACATATAGAAAAAGAAAATGAGTGGTCTGCACACAATTTCTTTAGGTTAGAGTCTTTCAAGCAAATTTTATCTACTTTAGCCATATTTAAAATGTCACACAGTGCACCTATTTAAAAAAAATTAATTCCAAAAAACAAGGAAAGTTATTGTGAAGAATGACAGTAGTTTTGAAGGAATAATAAATATATCAATAAGTTTTACATTCATGCAAGTTACTCGCTGAGATAACCACTTTTCTTTGTCCTAACAATTTACACTTGAAGTTGTACAACCCACTGTTCTCACTTGTCCGTGCAGTTGCTGACAAGGCTGCATACCTGACAAGTCTCAACTCCGCTGACCTGCTCAAAGCCCTCTGCTACCCCAGGGTGAAAGTCGGCAATGAGTACGTCACCAAAGGCCAGACTGTGCAGCAGGTAAACAAGACTGGAGCTTCTTGATAACTTAAACTATCGGAGACTCAAGGGATCATCATTGTTTCCAACTCGAAAACCTAACCTACTATTCTTGTTAAAGGTGTACAACTCAGTGGGTGCACTGGCCAAGGCCATCTATGAGAAGATGTTCCTGTGGATGGTCACCCGCATCAACCAGCAGCTGGACACCAAGCAGCCCCGGCAGTACTTCATCGGTGTCTTGGACATTGCTGGCTTCGAGATCTTTGATGTGAGTAGTGAAGTGACAGAAAATTATTAAGTGCAAATCACTTATCATTTTACTGACCTTATTAGTTATTGTTAAGTGCTGTAGAGTCATAGACAACCCATAGTGACCCTTTGAACGAAAGTTTTGAACACAAAACTTTCATCTTTTCTCCAAGTTCATAGAGTTTCCAGAGACAAGATGATTATTATTATTTTTTTTTTGGAAGTAGAAGATTCAAAATTATCTTCACAAAAAAAGACAGACTTGAATCCATGGTGAAGAAGGGTCTTTGAAAAGATCAGAGCACAGTAAATGAATAAGGAAGTAGGGAGAATTTTATTATTACAAGTCTAGAAGTTTCAAAGAATGGGTGCATGAACAGCTAAAATATTTGAAAGCTATTCTGCATCTAAACAGTTGTATATACAAACTCTTTACGAATGTAGGCTAAAGGAACACTGAAAATATTCTTCATTTTACAAAATTTTTCCCCAACTTGTATACAGCTGCTTTAGAAAGCAAAGAATCTAAGGAGTCAAGTCAATTCTCTTTGGTTTGGAACTATGCCATATTTTAAGAAAATAACTGGAAAGTTTTAAATATAGAAAACATGAGTAGCTGCTCTGTAGATACAAATACTTGAGTTATGAATAATTTCCTACGTTTATCTTTTCCCATAGTTCAACAGCCTGGAGCAGCTGTGCATCAACTTCACCAACGAGAAATTGCAACAGTTTTTCAACCACCACATGTTCGTGCTGGAGCAGGAGGAGTACAAGAAGGAAGGCATCGAGTGGGAGTTCATTGACTTCGGCATGGACCTGGCGGCCTGCATTGAGCTCATTGA